TGGGCAGGCAAGGAGCAACAACTGGGAAGAGTTCAGCAATTAAACTGTTAAAAATAGAAAGGAAAGAAGAAAGGAGGAAGAAAACTTCACATTAGCATTGATTTGTGGGTTTTTTTGTTTCTTTTTGTTGTAGTTTTTCCTAGTAAAAATCTATATTTACTCCTTGATAGATGGAAGAGTCTACTTGGTTTGCCATTTTTATGCAACAACTTGTTACTCCAGAAGATTCTGATTATAAAACACGATGTGGAAAGAGGGTCAGTGAACCATCCAGAAGAAATGGTGAACTAGAAGAGAAATGCTCCCTCTCCTTCCCCAGAAACAGTAAAGGCAGTATCCAAACTGCTACTTTAACAACCACATAGCAGCCACAGAGAAGTTCTCCCTTTCCAGCTGAGCTAGGAGAGCTTGCTATAAAAACCACATTCCTCCTGGTATCTCTGATGGCAGTATTACAGAAATTCTTATTGGTAGGTCAACATATTTTCACTGTCCTCCAGAAAAAACTGTGCTCTCTAAATTTGATTCAAATGATTGATTCTGCCTTTTCAGACTCTCAAAGTTTCCTTACTCTGGGCTTGTACAAATCCTAATAGCCTTTTTTTCATCTCAGGGAAGATGCTAGACACCAAAAGAATAAACTGAGTGAGCAGGTGCATGTGCTAACTAAACTGTTATTAGATAAAAGATGTAGAGTTACCAACTTGTCTGTAAGGCATTGCAGAATCAAATTACAGCAGCTATTCAGGCTGGGAATGCTCAGCTAGCCTGGGCATTATCTTAAGGCTGGAACATGATTGAATAGTCATTTTCTGAACAGCAAAATAACTTGCTTGACATGGGATTCTTTTCTTCCCTTTCTTGGAACTCACTCAATCACATTAGCTTCTTTTGTGCCTAAATGGGATGGTTTTAGGTTATGAAATGTGATTGTTCACACTGGAATAATAACACTAGGAATCTAAGTCTATTTAGTCTTTAAAGCTGATCAGCTTATCGCTGTCCAACACAAAGGATTCAGAAATCAGATATCTGAATGAGTTGAATACACTGAAGCAATGGTAAGAGATTCAAAGCTAATGGGGTGGTCTTGACTAATTCTCCCAAACTCAAGATTTGGTCCTGGATTCAGTGAATTATGTCAGGAAAATCAACGCTCCCTATTCCCATGTTTCCTAGGAGGGCAGCATCTCCTCCAGTGTCTATTTCATCTTCATTCTCCCTCCATCTGATCTTTTGTCACATCCCTCCGTCTCCATTTTCACTGACTGCTACTTCTGTTCTCTTAGCAGTGATTTCAGGGCTCCTCTTCTCCTGTGATGATTCCTCCTCTGCTGCACCCATCAGTAGTTACGCTGCTGTTCAACAAAATGTGTCATTTTCTCAGCTCCTCATGCCTGTATGCAAGCAAGGGCAGGAGGTCAGCAGAGAGAAAGGCAGAACACTGAGTTACATACAATTCTGGACCCTAATGTCAGCACTAAGATAAGGAAGAAAGCAGGCTGCCATTTTGCTCTTGCAGTACTGAGCAGAATATGAAAGAGACCTGCATACAAAGTCACAGCATTGCCCCGGTCCTCCCACCTGTCCCATGCCCCAGGCCTTCTCACACACTGGCTTCAAAGCAAAGTGTAATGACTCTAAAAGAAAAATATGCTAGAGTCAAATGAAAACTATGTAAATATGTCCAATATCATTATAAAAAAATGCTGAATATTTTATTTATACATGAAAGAAAGTTTGTTATATCAACATTGCTTTTAATAGTAGGATGAAAACTGAGTTAAGAACTTTGTGGACTGATATTTTCTTCTGCTTCTCCCTACCTTTTTTTCCTCCATTTCCACTCATCATTTCTGGTAATGTATTTCATTCAAAGGCAAAAAACCAATGAGATTGTTTAGCTGCCAAATTTAAATCACCATCTGAATACAATCTGAATACAATGATTTTTCACTGAAGATATGAAAGTTTGAGGTTCAGCTGGGCTGTGGAATGGGAAATGTCCCAAACTAAAAGCTTGCAAGAGGCTACCAAAGGGAAAAATACATACTGTCTGTACAGAAATTGTAAAAACATCAGCCGTGCATTCTCAGTTGCCTAATCTTGGAGCAATCAGACAGAATTCTCTTGAAATACCAAAAGATGCACAGAATATCTTAAAACATAGCAATAGCAAAATACGTTTAAATGGATGCTAAGGGTAATTGAACAAAAATCAAGGTTCTTTCCTCAGTAAATCTTTTCAACATTCTCATTTTTGGAGAGCAACTTCCTTAAGTATATGTTGCTCTCAACAGTAATGAGGTAACAAGAGAACTGTGGGCAATGAATGTTCTACTTCAAATTTCCTTGTCCAGGTTACAGGGAACATGACTGTTGTCATTAGTATCTGTCTTCCATCAACGTCTGTATTTTTTTTTCTTTTTCTTCTTTGTTGTTGCTGTTGTCCTCCATGAAGAGTAAATTAGAAATAAGACCAGGACGAAGTTTCATCTAATAGCCCTTTTGGTTATTCTTCTTTTGGGGCATCTCACTAAAACTAAACCTTTCGAGGGAAAGGATAAAGATGTGTTCAAATGCTCCCAAGAAGATGGCTGCTGTCAGATAACCATCTGATTTTTCACTGACTCACTGAAACATTCTTTTCTGGAGGTTCAGGTGTTGATTAGATCAGCAAGATATTCTGGAGGGCAAGGCAGCTGAACAGTCTTTGAACAGCCCATTTTTTTTCTGATCCGAACCAAATAATTCTGAAGATGATTAAACATCGATGCATAACTACAGAATTGATGGGAGGTGGCAGGTTTTGCATTTGCAAGTATGATTTTCTTGCTGCAACACTAGATAAACAGGCTACACTGCATTGTAGAAATCAACTAGACAGTGCCCTCAGTGGCTGTGAATTTGATAGCAAATAGTTTTTTAGATCTATAATGAGTTTGATTTGGATCTATGTAGACAATAAAAACTAGTCCAGGTAAAAGATTTAGATGGTATCAGTTCTCATCGGATAGGATTTCCTATCAACAAGAGATAGTCACAGTTCAAAATGATTTTTCCTTCTTCAAGGTGGATTGAGCATAGAGATCAAAGGTTCCATCATTTGAAAGTGTGAGAAATTCTATTCACCATTAGGTATGGGTTCCACCAAACAAAGGAAAGCATAGAAAAAGTAGAAATTTTGGTAGTAACTCTTTGCCCTGGTCCTAGTTTTGGAAATCAGCTTTCAATACCAGGGTTTAGAACATCAAATGTAACAACAAAGTTTAGCAAATGTGTTTTACATGAAAGCAAATCTTCTGGGGGAAAAAAAAATAAATCAGAAGCTCAAGAATGAAGGGATGCAAGATTGCTAAAAGCACAGGTAAAGGTACTGCAAGGCACAGGTTGATAGTAGCCTATGAATTGTACTGCTAATTATGCTAGCATAAACGTGACCTGTTTTTGAGGAGTAAACCAAGGGATATGACTGTCATGCACATCAAGCCTAGATTATTCCTCAGTATAAATTTCACTGAAACAACAGCACTTCATTTATTGGTTAACCCAGATTAGTCTGCTAGCTTTTCCAATAACATTAGCAAGATGTGTACTGTGAGAGCCACTTCATATTAGCTTTGCCTTTTTTCCATGGAAAGGCCAGAGAAACTTGTCCTGGAGAAATGTGATCTCAGCACATGTGTTATTTTCCTGAGTCTGTGCATGCTTTTCACTGCCATTGCTAACTCTAATTTGATAGCAAGAAGTGCTGATTATTATCCTGCTCAGTAATGCATGTACCTGAGAGAAACTTCTCAATTTGGTGAGTTTGGTTCTTACAGATTTGTGCAACCTTTTTGGTGACTGCATGGCTGGCCATCTGCCATAAGAAATCCTAGGCTCCTTTATTAAGTGTTAACTGGATTATTTTATTTCTCTTTTGTGTTCAGGAGGTGTTCAGTATTGGGTAGCTCTGTGTAGGAAAGACCCACCATTAAATTCATGCCTCCTCTTCAAGACATTGAGTATCATAGACTCCGTGGTGTTTTTGCTGTGTCCACACATTTCATGAATGCTGCATTTATTCACCATTCTGCACTACTGCCATTATTAAATTCATTTGTAAATGCTTTAACACACTGGTGGCCTCAGTGAGAAAGGTGAAATATAAACCTCACATCTATCATCAGGATTATTACCCTCAGTGGTTGTATGGTTAAATGTTCACAGCCGAAGCAAAACAAAGATAAGGGTGTTTGCACTTGCGCGTTCCAAGTTAGAGCAGTAATTGACTACCATAAACTGTATCGGCTTGTGATACAACAGCCTTTACAAGCTCTGAGACCGTCGTTCTATCTTGCAACCCGTTGGTCCGGTATTATCATAAAGACATTTTCACCACGAGAGCGACTTGAAACTCCTGGTGGAGCTTTCAGAAGCAGCATTCGATGGCTGCGGCACGCAGTAATAAGATACGGGCCCGTTTTCTACTTCAGAGCACTGCCACTTTTGGGGAAGGGTCCTTGAGCTCCCACCGGCACTTCGGGAGCAGCTGCTGGGCACAGAGCTGGCTGCTGAGCTGCGGGCACAGGCACCTCCCTGCGCACCACCCGCCATCCCTGCTCCTCTCCGGTTGGCAGCAGAGGACAGGAGCAGCTCAGGGCACTCGCAGGCCGTGGCCTGGCAGCCAGAGCCTCCCTCGCTTAACGCACGGTAGATAAAGCGTTAGACTGCCGTGAAGATATTTTTAATCAATCTCAGAACCAATTATTTCCACTCTAACGACGGTAGGCACAACTTTGTCAGGCGAAGAAGTGACTTTTCATGCAGCAGCGGGTGTGCCGGCGCAACTGTTGCTTCGTACGCAGAGATCTCCCTCAGAGCCGCGGTAACATCGCGCAGCTGAAGGAAGCGCTGGGGCAGCTGGCGGCGGCAACTCCGCACGGCGCTCGTTGGGCGCTGCGCAGCACCCGCCGCTAGGGGGCGCTGCGGCGGCGTTGGGGCGGGGGGCGGGCCGCGAGCCCACGTCCGAGTTCCCAGGGCGACGGGCGGTCGCGCCGTGACGTCAGGGTGTTTCCCGGTGACGCCGCGGCGCAGGCGCGCGGCGAGCGCGGCGGCGATTCTGGGTGACGTCACGGGCCGGGCGTGACGTGCGGTGGCGCGGGCCGCCGGGAGCCGGCCGGGATCTGCGCTCGCCCCCCTACCCCTCCCACTACGGGTCGCGGCTGGGGGCGTCCCGGCGGCGGGGACGCGGTTCCCCCCTCCCCCTCCCTCGCCCCAGCGCTTCGATCCAAGATGGCGGCGCTGAGCAGCGGCAGCAGCGCCGAGGGGGCCTCGCTCTTCAACGGGGACACGGAGCCCGAGCCGCCGCCGCCCGTGCTGGGCGCCTGCTACGCCGGGAGCGGCGGCGGCGACCCGGCCATCCCGGAGGAGGTAAGGCCGAGCGGCGGCTGCCGCGGGTCCCCGCCCCCTCCCGCCTCGCCGGACCGCACGGCCGCGGCCCATGCGGCGGCGGCGGAGGGGATCCCCGCTCGGGGGAGGCCCCGGCCCTCCCTCTCCTCTCCGGTGGCGGGCAGAGCGCAGCGGTCGCGGGGCGGAGAGGCTCCGCGCCGCCGTCCCGCGCCGAGCGCTCGGGCTGGGGCTGCGTGTCGGAACGGGGGTGGCGGGATGGGGCTTCCCCGGCCCTCGGCGTGGGCATCGCCCGCCCGGCCGGCCGGCTCGGAGAAGGGCGGCGGGGGCACCGCTCCCCGTGCTGTCACACCGCGAGTTAGCCGAGGGCAGGCGTTCGCGGAGCTGTTTTGTAATCTCTTGACCCGGGCGGTTTTGAAGCGCTTGAAAAAATAGAGTTCGGTGCGATTTGTTGTTGGCCTGCGTTGCGATTTGTGTACGAGGAGCGTTAAGAAACGCCAACGGACGGCGTGGGGGGTGGCAGGCCCCCATCTGCAGCCCTGTGGCAGACTTCCTGTGCTGTGGGGCACCTTGTTTAACTTCCCAGCCCCGCACGGAGCAGCGCTGCCTGTTGTACGGGGGTTAAAGCTTGAGGCGCTGGCACTTCTGAAGCATTCTCAGGAGGTGGACTATGATGTGCAGTAGCAACGCTGGCTGTTCTGCAGTTCTGAACACTGTAGGCACCGAAGTCTCAGCTATTTGCCACATATCGTATGTCAAGTCTGTTTTAGAGGTAAACACAGCTGCCAGAGACTCTGCCTCCTCGTTCAGGGCTTTGGTTGCTGAAGGCCGTTTCAGCTCAGCCTTCCTGAGCGGGTCTGTATGATCTGTACGGCGCTCTGAGCCCTGAGCAGCACTGCTGCCATGGGACAGGCTGTTCTCTGCCCCCACCTCCACTTGGAGAGGTGAGTAGGCCTTGGGCCTCGGCTCACCAAGAGGTCCCATTTGGCTTCAGCTCACTGGATAATAATGCCTTTTCTATATTAATAGCTTTGTGGAATGGCATGGAATTCATGAGTTGAGAAGTTTGGCAAGCGCTAGAGCTCATGCTGAGTAGATGGCTAGAGAGGAGAAAAGGGAAGGAGGCTTCCGCTGTTGGTGCTGTTGAGAGGTAAGACTTGCCCATCTTAAGGAGCTACCTGCTCACCTTGCTGAAGGAAGTCAAAGCTCAGCACTGTGCTCATATTTTGCACCTCAACAGCAAGATGATTAAATGCTTTGTGTAATGCGAGTCCACTCTTAGCTTTCCTGAGTAAGGAGGAACTCTTTGCTGGTTGAGAAACCTAAATACCTAAAGATTGGACTTTTACAAATGCTTTCTTTCAGCAGCAAAATGAGTTTAGAAAGCATCCCGCTGGCTTTTATTGCCCTGATCGTGCTGGTGCAGCTCTACGTGGAAGTGAATTGCTGTGTTATTTCCACCATTAAAAATAATGTCAATATCAGCGGAATCGTTAGAGTAACTATTTATTTTGTGGCCCTGGATTCAGTCGTGGTAATACAGCTGAGTGGGATAAATAAACTGCGGTGCATGGGAGAGAAGAGAGGAAGACAGTGGCTTGATAAAGGAATTATTCAAATCTCTTTTTCATACCACAAGAGATGTCACTTGAACTTCAGAACTGCTTGTGTGGGACATAAGAGTTCACTCCAAATGCAAAATTATGCAGTGAGGGTTTTTTGGTTTTTGTTTTTTTGTTTTTTTTTTAAATTGTTGTTGTTTTTTGTGTGTGTTTTTTTTGTTTTTCCCTTTTGTATGTTACATCTCTGTATAAGAAAGACAGTGAAGCAGCCTGCTGCCTGGCACACATGCCAGCTGGAGGGCTCAGTATCTCTGAAGCATGGGTGCATAAATGCACAGTTAAGGAGCGTGTGGTGTTGTTAATGTTTTTTTTTCAAGTTTTTGCTTTCTATACATTGGAAATGATGAAGCACACAGGTCTGAGGCAGAGCTGGTACTAGAGTTTTTATTTTTTGATGTGGTTTTGTTCGTCAGTTAGCTAGCTCTTCCTCAAGTCGTAGGTAATTACCTTTTGTTTGCAGTATATATATTACGCCATCTAAAACGGGTTTTAATAAAGCTTAAGAGCAAATAATTGCTGATCAAGTTGAAGTGAAAACTATTCTTAATACAAAAACAAGTCAGCGTAACCATAATACAGATGCAAGGTGACATAAGTCAGAAAATTCTGAAGTACTTATATCTGACTCATGTAAGTGTGTGTTTTGGTGTTCTGTTTCCCTTCAAGGGAATGTAAATCTAGGCTAGGTAACCTTGCTGTGGAAGCATGTCAAGGAGCACTACTTCATGTATTTAGAGGAGGCACCTAGAAGGGTTTTAGTTCTATAGTTCCCTCTGCAGTCTTTAGGAAAACACAGTCCTGATTTCCAGGGGGAAAACCTTCCATTCTGTGCTGTTTACAGCTGTAAGAGGAGGGCAGACAAGGAGAATCTTTGGTAGACCTTACAGCAGGCGGACACAAACTCAGCTGAAATCCTATGGTAAAGGGGGTGTTCTGTGTCAAGATCATAAACGAATGTTGGTTACAGCTACATCAGTATTGCTAACGAGTTCAAGGCTTGGAGTTCTGACAAACCAGTTTATGGCATATCATTCAACTCGTGGCCAGTTTTGAATCAAATAATGAATCTGGTGCTTCAGGAGCTGCCCTTGCAGCATAACTGCTGATACTAAAATTCTTCAGATAATGAAGCTGTTACGTAAGAGTGTAGTAACTGCAAAGGCATTTTTTCTATACTGAATCCAAGTTTAGGAAGAGCAGTTTCACATGCAGACGTAAGAACGGTATGTTTAGGAAATAAGTCCTTTGCAGGGGCATAAGGATTTCATAAGAGCAGGGGCATGTGAATTAGGGGAAATTGTCCTCTTCTGCTCACCATTCTCTGCCTGGGGGGGAGCACCGACACCCAGGGACATGCAGCCTGGCTCTTACCCTGTGATTCTTAGGACGAGAGATTGTTTGGATGGAAGGCTTTTAGAGTGTTGTAAGGGTTGTTGATACAGTAGTGTGCGTGACAGCTGGGAGAAAAGGCTCTGTTCTTGTTGCTAGAGATTATTTACACCGTTATTAAATAATTCAAATGGGATTTTCTGTACTTGGAGCTTTGTGCCCTGAAGTGCTTTTTGAAGACAAAAATGACTGAAAGTTGTGAAGTGAGGCTCTGAGCTGTTGGGCAACCGATGGCTTTCTAGGTGGCAGTGATGGAGTTGATCTGGCATAAATATTAGCTATGTATTCAGAAACCTTAATCTGACAAAACAGATTTAAGAGGAAGAAAAAATTTAGCATGAAAAGATGCCTCTAACCTGAAATAAAATAACCAGTGGGCTCTCATGAAGCAATCCTGTTGGTATGCTAAGAAAAGTCTATGTTCTTTTTTTCTCTCATTGCTTTCGTAGTTTTGAGAATACGTTTTCAGTTCGATCTCAGTTATGTTTTGTTGCTTTTGTGTTCAGTGACAGATTTAACTTTATGGTAGGTGAATGGCGTTCTATTTAATTGTGAGACCAGGTTAAACTTTGGCTACAAGATGCTTCATCTCCAGCCAACGTTCTGCAGGAGTATATCTCAGAAGATAAGTGCGATGGTTTTTTGCACAGCAGAAGCAAGTCCTTAGCTCAGTGTGCTTGTCTGACTTTCGGCTGCAGCTTCAAGTAGATGGGGAGAACCTAGAGGAGGGTAGCAAGGGAGATGTGAGGTCTAGCAGATCGGATCTTTGGGGAAAGACTGAAAAACAGAGAGAATTGTCAAATTTGATGCAAAAAAAGACTGCAAATATTTTGTTCTCCAGACTCGTGGTTATTACTGCCAGAAGTAGTGTGTCTGAATGGTGACAGAGGAGATCATTTTGAGTTACTAACACGCTGTTTTCTTTATGGCTGGGGACAGGAGCATGAAAATAGACTTTCTTAGCTAGCTTATACAAGAACCGATTAGTAGATTCTGTCACCTGCACTGGCAAATATATTTCAGGAGTGATGGAGGATAGTTGAGCCAGGTGTCGGGAAGGCAGTGGTTCTGATAACCTTGTCTTCTTCCATACGCTTTTATGGTTCAGTCTTTGCAGGGCAGATCAAATGCTAGAATGTAACCGTCAAATACTTGAGTTTAGTGGGGACCTTAAAAAGATTTCTGCTGATGATGGGTTTTTTTCCCCCCAGAAGGCAATGGGATTAACAGCTCTGTCCTGTGGTAGTTTGTTTGATTACACAGAACTTGCTTATTAGATGAGTATATTTAGAAAAGCTTTGGTGTCTCAGGGATTGCTTTCTATCTGTGTGGATATCCACAAATTGGTTGGATACAAAGTATGTGGCTGTATTTTTGTGAATGTGTGTTAGTACTTGAGCTCTTAGGCTTTTTCTACTTGTTAAACTGTGAAGTGTCTCATTTTTAATGCTGTTCTAATAGTATCTTTCTTGACACTTGTTGTAGCCAGGAAAGGCAGTTCTTTTGTTGCATGCAGTTGGCCAGATGAGAGAGCTCCCCTATTCTGCTTTACTTTGTTATTTTTTAACAAGTTTATAGTTCAGTTTTATTAGTTATTGCGCCGATAGAAAAGTTGCATGAAAGATTTGAGGGTGAATTTTGCTTGGGAGGGAATAGAGTTTTGTATGTACTTGCAAAAGAGATAAAAGGGGGTTTCACTATATGAAATGGATAGTTCAAGTCCAGCCTTATGTAGAAGCTACAGGTTCTTCTCAGAGACACTTTTTCAATTTTTTTGTAGCATGTTTCAATCTGAACAAGTTGCTTTTGAAGAGCAACGGTACAGTAGAAATGCCCTGTCAGAATGCTACTCCTGGATGACTAACGCTGCTCACTGTGCCTGTGGTACATCAGACAGTGTCCTGCCACTGAGAGGGGCACATGTGGCCATTTTGTGTGCCTCCTCCCATGCACTCAGCCAGATCCGTGCTGAGCCACGTGGGTGCCACGTACAGCCTTCTGAAATCGATCCAC